GAGGGAATCGTAAAGCGAAATGAAAATCGCAACGCGATTTGGAAAATTAGTCAGAATCGCGGTGCGAATCTGGAAACTGATTTGCGATACCAGAGATCGCGTTGCGAATTATCGATCGCATTACGATTTAGTTGGTCATTTTGGCAAATCCAAAAAAGTTTGTTAAAATCGTATATTATAAGACATTTTTTGTCACTGAGGTTATTTTCTCTAATTAATATTCGTGTTTGAAATTTGAAAATAAAATACGCGTAGCGATTCTAATGGCGCTTTAAAAATCACGTTGCGATTTACGGATACGCGTTACGATTTTACGTATTGTCGTTGCGATTTACGGATACGCATTACGATTTACGTATTCTCGTTGCGATTTACAGATACGCGTTACGATTTACGTATTCTCGTTTCGATTTACGGATAAGCGTTGCGATTTTACGTATTTTCGTTGCGATTTACGGATACGCGTTGCGATTTTACGGATACTCGTTGCGATTTATATGTTCGCGTTGCGATTTTCATATTCGTGTTGCGATTCTGAAAAATCGCAATGCGAATTTGTACTATCGCATTGCGATTCTGGGAACTGATTTGCGATTCTGGAGATCGCGTTGCGATTTTTATTTCGCATTGCGATTTTGTTTGTCATTTTGGCAAATCCAAAAAAAGTTGGTTAAAATCATATATTATAAGACATTTTTGGTCACTGAGGCGATTTTCTCTAAAATCATCATACTCGGACCGCATGAAAGGGTAATTCGAGAAAATATATAACAAGATAAATGATACCTAAGATTGAAGCATAGACTTACACTTCGTGGATGATTTTGAACTATATCGACAGCCTCCTGATTACTTAAATGCTCCCAAAGCCCATCCGATGCAAATATCACGAACTGATCCTGTGGATGCAGCTGATGCGTTGATATTGATGGATCTGCACTCAATATTGGCTTTTTAAAAGGTTCGCGAAGGCGGAATTTTTTATATAAAGGCTCCCTGTTGAACTCGGCCTTTTTCAAATATACATCACCAATAGACCTGGAAATCTGAAAGATCAAGAATTCTATCAATAAGCAATCTGAAAAAGTGTGAACCGACAACAAGCCATGGAAAACCGGAGAAAGGTCATTACAATATTGAGCTGCTAGACATATAGCATGCTTTATGCATTTGTGGAATGTACTATACCTCTCTCTCACACACTCTTCGATCGGGGATGTGGTGAGGGGATTCTACAATAGTGATATTATAGCAAAAACCTAGTTAACGAATATAAAGGCTTTGCACCATCATGGTCAGTCTTAAGGTTTTTAACAAAGCAGTTGTGGCGTTTGTGCATAAAGGGCAACAACCATGGCAGCAAAAGAATCTTTCGCAAATGAAATCCATATGCACATTGCTTTTTGAAAAATTTTAAATTATTTCTAAAGACCCCATACATATATGTGGTTACTTGCTCCGAAGTTTCTCGACCAATTTGATCAAGCAAGAAACTTGTCTAAACTATCGGTTAAGGAATCCAAAGTGAGAACCGTCCCGTTGGATTTCCTAGTCTAGCTATAGATTCTAATGAAGTTCAAAAACCAAGAAAATACATTTAAATTAGTACTTATGGGCTAGGTAAAAGAACTATTTCTCCAATCCCCATGCTTTGGGTAAGGGGTTCATTTTGTTGAGGGGTTGCTTGCTGTGGCCGTCTTCCAAAGCCATCATGACAAGGCAACCACAACTTAATAGTTTATTCGGTCAATAAAACCGGGGGCTGGTTAAAATCTAGCAGAGTATCTCCTTTCACCGAACCTTTTTGTTAACAAAGCTAAGACAACTAAATAGAGCTGAAAGCTCATACAGCTAACGTGATTCGATAATAAAAAGTCTGAAGTTCAAAAATAACCAACTCCAAGACCATCACTTGGAAAATACATCCATGGGTAACCATCAAATTACTTTCTTTCCATGTGATCAACATGGAATCCAACAGTGTTCGTTCAGGTTCTTTAGCTTATGAAACAGCCGGTAGCACTTTCTTACCCCTTCTGTAACCTTTTTAATTACTAAGATCTCTTATAGTCAAAGATTTTTTCACATTTCCTTTTTCTCTTCCAAGCATCCAACTAGATTGGTTATTTAGACAAACTGGTCTCCTTGCCTTGAAAATTTTAAATTCTAAAACATATGCCTGAGTATATGAAAACCCGGGTTCCTGCACTTCAATAAGAACTTTAGAAACATCCAAAACAACATGCTCCAAAAGCGCTCAATTTGGACAAGAAACAGTTCAAGCTCTCTTTGTCTCTGCAGAGGCGTGAAAGTCGTATTTGCTCTTCCAATGATTTGTTCCCAACCACTTATCACAGCTATGCAAAAGCATTGTTGTTTTGAAATACTGTGATTACCTACTCATCTTAGCAGCTAAACTACCACTACTTAAAAATTAAAAAGAAAATGTGCACAGTGTAACGCACCTGTATGAGACCTTTTACACGCCATACGTTATGCTTCAAAACTACAATTTGTGAGTCATCTGGATGCAATGACTTCATCTCCTGTCTTACAGACTCTATACACACATTATGCTCAGCCGACAGCTGAATGGCTAGAACCTCTCCTGTCGCCTTCACAGCTCTCCCCAAGACAACACGGGAATCACCAAGGTTGGCAACATAAAGAGTTCCACCACAAATAACACCAACTAGGCAGCACGATCCAACAGCTGCAATTTTCGGTTTCATAGGCCACTGTTTGGTAACAAGAGATAAGAAACCCTCTTCTGTTGCTTGATACGCTTTTCGTATCACATCAACCGACATCCCTTGCTGCTCTGCAGTAAATCCTGACCATAACAAACGTCATCAGTACAAAAAGCGAACACCCAAACATAACAAAGATATCTCTAGGTTTTGGTTCAAAACAAAACACTTAACTACCGCTTCAACAAGTTTACCACAGTAATTCACAATCATATCATCACATCCAAATCATCAATATAAAGGGAAACAGAAAAGTATAACCTTAGCAAATGCTTTGGGCTTACGCTTTAAATGTTGAAAGAGATGATCGTTGATGTAGCGTGAAGTCTCCGGGCCTCCATGCCCATCATATACACCAACAAAAGTACCATAGGGGCCAGACTCGTGTGAACTCAAACGACCAGACTCAAGCTGGCTCTGGTCCTCAAGTAAATTGTTGGCCTGTACAACTGCCATGGAGAACTCACCATTGATGTGCTGCCCTGAGTCCTTGTACCACAAAAGGCCATCTTGACGACCTCAGGCTTCAGAACTTGCGTGAACGTATCGATCTGAACTCGGTCGAAAACAGGCCCTCAAAAACTTCATCAACCCAGAAAACATCCCTCATCTCACCCACAAAACCCTCCCAATACTCATCTAAACCAGGCCCTACAAATTTGAAGGATGATCCCCATCCTCCTTTGGTTCTCAACGCAAAACTGGAACACTGCAGCAACAGCAGCAATAAAAACAACAAAGCACACCTAAAAGATCAGCAATAGTTCAATGTGCAGCAACCTGCAACTTAGTATCTTCCACAACCCCTTTAAGGGGAACAGCACCAACTAGAAGGTACAGAACACTAGGAGATCAATAAGTGATGTCCAAGAAGCTAACTGCTTCTCAGTTTGTCATTGAGCTCAAACAACAAAAGATGTTCCTTCTTAAAACAGGAAAGTCATGACCGTACAAGCTCCTGATGGAAAAAATCAACAAAACACAAAAGGTTTTTTTTTGGGAAACAAGGGAATCGGTCAAGATCACTTCTTTTTTTTCCCCTAACAAAGTAGTTTGGTCAAACCATTAGGATATCCAGAAGGTCTAATGTTTCACATTGAGAAGCTTCAAACAAAACCCAGATTCACAAAACTCTTTAGACCCACTAATCATTCCTAAATCAACTTATATTTCCAGCACCAAGTGCAGGAAAACAGATAGGGAAAAGACCAAAAGGAGAAAGCTTACCTTTTAATTTGAAAACTTGGGGTTATATACTTGAAAAGGAAGATCTGGGACTAGAAAAGCAAGAAACTTCACGCGGGGTGTGAACTTGGAATTACAGATCTATGGATCAGTAAAATCAAAGGAAAATTAAGAGAAAAATTGGGTTTTGGCTTCTGGTTTGGTTGGTTTCAAGTAAGTGATGAGATATTTTTTTTGTTGTTGAAAATAACAAGTGATGAGATAATTGAAGAAGAAGAAGAAGGATGAATGAAATGGATGAGCTTAAAAAAAGTCCTTTTTATGTGAAAAGATTTCGGCTTGGACTCTAAAAATACATATAAGAAATCTCTTTATCCCCCCTTATCTCTCTTGTTTCTCTCAGCAGACAACACCCGTAAAAGACCAACAATGGAAAGCTCGAAGCCAGCAAGGCAAAGGTCCAGTTTTGGGCTCCACACCCCTAAAATAATTGCCAAAAAAAAGGATTGAAAGAGGGAAGCTTTCACAAGCTTAAGCTTAATAGTCGATGAAATCAAGGTTTATGAGTATAAATATGAAACAAAACTAAATTTCTAAATCAGTAATGAGATTCTCCTACTGCTTTCGTTTGAAAGATTTATATTTGACATCGAATTCATTATCATTTTACTCAATATACCATTGGTATTATAATATTAACTTCTGTGAAGAAGAAATAAGATCTAATGGGGGCAACAGGTGGCGCCATTTTTGTTTGCCACGAACCTAACTATTACCGGTGGTTTCCATCTTTGAACCACTGTGTTGTTACACGTGTTAGTTCTATCAAAGTAGTATGAATTGTGGTACCTTGGGCGGTGGTCGTTATTTACAGGTTACTGTTGGAAAAACCGAGTAACACAGACTCGTTAGATAAACGAGTATGAATAAAATTTAGGTGTTCATTTAATAAATGAATATAAACGAATAGATATGTATTTAGATTGTTTATGTTAAAAAATAAATCTATTTCTAATTTTATTTATCGACTTGTTTATAAACTCATGAATTGACTCATTTATAAGCCCCTTTACACGTTTTTTTTTATTGTGAAAAAAGCAACTTCGGGAAATATATTTCATTCATATTTATGAAATAATGATTACAAATATTTATATACAAGCTGACTAACAAGCTTCTAACAATAATCTGTTACATACTAACTATATGCAACTAAACAACAATTGCTCTACTTAATCTCAACTAATTAGAATAGTCTCAACACTCCCCCCTCAAGTTGGAGGATGAAATATATCTTTCATCTCTAACTTGCCAACTAAATATTCATGCTGCAAGACATTTAAGCCTTTAGTGAAGACATCAGCTAATTGTTCACCAAAGGAAACATGTTCAGTTTGTTTTAGTCCTTGAATCTTTTTTCTGACAAAATGGTAATCTATTTCAATATGTTTTGTACGTTCATGATAAACAGGATTTGCTGCGATTTGAATTGTTGTTTTGCTGCCATACAGCAATCTTGCATGTTTTGCCATTTTTACTCCCGAATCCTTCAGTAAACCATTCAGCCAAACCACTTCTGCAGCAGTAACTGCCATGCTTCTGTTTTCTGCTTCTGCATATGAACTGGCTACAGTGTTTTTCTTTGCCTTCCATGAGATTAGGGAGTTTCCCAACTTGATACCAAATCCTGTGACAGATCTCCTAGACATAGGACATGCTGCCCAATCGGAGTCACAGCATGCCATCAGTTGATAGTCATTCGAGGAGCTCAACAATATACCTCGACCTGGGCTTTTCTTGACATATCTAACAATTTGAAGAGCAACTTCAAGATGTATGGTTTTTGGCTGCTGCATAAACTGACTTATGTGATGAACTGCAAATGCTATATCATGTCTGGTGTGAGTCAAATATATCAGTTTGCCAACCAGTCTCTGAAACATTGATTTATCCTGCAATAACTCACTCTCATCACTCTGTTTCAGCTTTTGATCATACTCAACAAAGGTGAGCTTCTTATTCTGTTCAAGTGGAGTGGATGCTGGTTTGGCTCCCCTTATCCCACTGCCTTCAACTAATTCCAATGCATACTTGCGTTGGTTCAATAGTATTCCATCATTGGATCTCAAAATCTCAAATCCTAGGAAAAATTTTAAATCCCCTAAATCTTTCATCTTGAAGTTCTGATTTGGAATCCCTTTAAGTTCTTCAATCAAAGCTTCATTATTCCCAGTAATTACTAAGTCATCCAACATATATGAGCATAATAACTAACTTGTCTCCTTGCCTTTTAGTAAAGAGAGAATAATCATGTTTGCTTTACTGAAAACTAGCAGTAATTAAAGCTTCTGTCAGTTTCAGGTTCCATTGCCTAGAAGCCTATTTCAAGCTATAGAGAGACTTTTGCAGTCTGCACACCTTATTCCCACTGCCTACAAAAGCCTTCAGACAAGTCCATGTAAACTTCCTCAGTCAGGTCTCCTTACAAAAAAGCATTGTAGATATTCATTTGATAAAGGGGCCATTGAAACATGGAAGTCAAAACCAAAATAGTCCTAACAGTAACCAATTTAGCCACAGGAGAGAAGGTATCCACATAATCAACACCTTTATTTTATTATACCCTTTGGCCACAAGGCGAGCCTTGTATCTCTCAACTTCACCTGAGACTTTGTACTTAATCCGAAATACCCATTTGCAACCAATGGGCAACTTCACATGAGGGAAAGTGACAATAGACCAAGTGTTGTTTGATTACAGAGCCTGAATCTCCTCATCCATTGCCTTGATCCAAACTGGGTTTTTTATGGCTTTAGAAAATGTTTTAATCTCATTAAGACAAGAGGTAGAAAAAGAAATAGTTTTGTTGAACAACGCAAATCGGAATAAGAAATGAAATCAAAAATTGGGTACTGACCTGAAGGAGAGGAGGATTGGCAAGAGCCTACAAAATCATTGAGTCAATTTGGTGATTTAGAAACTCTAAAATATTTTTTAAGGACAAGACCAGAATAGGGAAGTGACAAACAGCTGGAAGGTGAATGTGTTGCATTTGATGAAGCTTCAGGTGAAATAATAGGCACAGGCCATAAAGGCGAAGAGCTAACAGCAGTGGGCAAGGGGGAAGAACTAACAGAAGTGGGCAAGGAGGAAACAGGAACACATGATGCAGAAGAAGAATTTGAATCCTGAACAGAAGTTGGTAACAAAGAGGAAACAGGAGAATAAAGGACTAAAAATTCAGAGTCAAGAATTTGCAAATGGGAATGGAAAAAATTGAAAGTTTTAGAAAATGGAAAATGGTCTCATGAAATCTGACATCACTATTTATAAAGAAATTTTTAGTGGCAAGGTCAAGAAGCATGTAACCCTTTTGGGTGGGAGAATAACCCATGAGATCATAAGGTATAGCTGCAGGAGTAAACTTATCTTTAAAATTGGTGTTAGTGGCATAACAAAAACATCCAAAGATTCTCAAGTGAGAGATTCGTAGGCATTATTACAGCCTACTAAACTTCATCTTTATGGTATTACGAATTTGCTGCCTGGAGATTTGAATTGTCATTGTTATAGCCATAAAAACATTATTATTGGCTTTTATGCCCCAAGACAAAGGTTATCTGCTGCAGTTTTGCCGATACCTCTTTTACTTGGGCAAGATTAGGACAATTCAATTGGAGTACAGGGTCTCCTCCAAGCTTCTCGGAAAGTCCTGGTTGCAGCCCTTGGTTTTCGGGTTCAGTGCAACAAATGGACAATTATCGTTCGATTACTGCTAGGAGAAATCCCTGAGCGAACTGTTTTTATGCAGAAAAGCATGGAGAAGGCATTGAGACCATACTTTGAACTGAAAAATGTGAGTTTTTCACACATGGCTTTCTTTTCATTCTGCTTTATAAAGGACTGAGTCCGATATTCCTAGTTCAACTTTCCTAGCAAAGGGGGAGAAAAAACTACGATCAGCTTTTACGTATCTTCGGTTGTTTTATCGGTATCTCCGTATTTTCGGTTGTGTTATCGGCATCTCCGTGTTTTTCTTATCGATCAGCATTGGGATTTTGCTCAGGTTGCAGCAGTCAGTTTTGATAACACAGCTAATGTTTTGAATGTATTTTCAGGCTGTACGCATTGGGGGTTTAGAGCTCTTCAAATCTGTTGCCGAGAAGTTCTCAAGCACTTTCAGTTCAGACCGGGCACATAACTTATTTGTTAGGCTATGGCATAATGTCATTCGTACAGGGCTGCGCAACCTAAGTATCTCATATTCTCGCGTCTCGCTCAACGATGTTGCTAAGAAGCTTAGGTTGGACACCATTGCTGATGCCGAGAGTATAACAGCCAAAGCAACCAAAGCAATCAAAGATGGAGCTATCGATGCAACATTGGATCAATCAAACGGATGCATGCTATCTAAGGAGACGGGAGATTCTACAACTGAGCCTCAAACGTCATTCAACTCTAGGATTGCTTTCTGCTTCAATATGCATAACGAGGCAGTGCACGCACTTCGGTTTCCACCAAACTCCCATAGGGAGAAAGACAGTGCCGAGGAGAGAAGAGAAAGAAAACAAAAGGAGCAAGAGCTCGCAAAGCACATTGCGGAGGAAGATGACGATGAGTTTAACTCAGCTACATGTCGAACTCGATTTATCCGCTATATCATGGCTTCATCAACATGTAGAACTCAATTGTAGAGTAGATAATGGCTTCATCAAGCTATGCATTTCCGTTTCAAATGCTCTAGTTCAAATGTTTTATATCCGAGTTTATAAGTTTACTTTAAAATCCAAATTCATTTGTTGTCCGTGTTAAATTCGAATAAAAAAGACAAGTCAAATATCTACAAATATATGAATCCGCAGTATCCATCGTCATTCCTGATGCCAACAATATCTGATAGTATAGTTTCAAGATTTGGAAAAGCATTGAACTCAAACCAGAATCACGCAGCTGAACTCAGCCCAAATGACTTGACAATGGTGCTCACTCTATCTGCAAAAGTTCTGGATGTTATCTTTTTACCAGGAACATGAAATGGGTTCGAGACAGCATCAACATATGCGGCGTGGAAGCTCCTGAAAAACTACACATTCAAATGCAAAAGTAAGTCGGATTCCATGCAGCGTGGAACCTCCTGAAAAAAATATACATTCAAATTCAAAAATAAGTCGGATTCCATAATAACATGTTCGGTAACTATTCAAATTAGTCATCTTGTTTGCCTAATTACTAGCAAAGTGACATACCCTTAACATTACCACCTATATCATCCAACAAGATGACGTAGAACAATCAAACTGACATTTACATTGGGGAATTTTAACCACCTCGTCCGAAACAATAACAAATAATATAATTACACAAAGGAAAATCTAAGAAAGAACTGAAAAACACACTAGGAAATTAGCAAATAAGCACAAGCTAAAACATGTTTGGATTCACTTTAATCAGAAACAGCCACCAAAATTTCCGAGAGTTTCTACATAAGCGGGTCTGCCTTCTAAGTCCTACCCAAGTATCCTGATAAACCAGCAAACATTGTAGATAGAAATACATCTTGATAATTTATTCAAAAGGTTAACATTCTCCAGATTTCCCCTTCCTATCATTTCCATAGATTACCATCATCCAAGACGAGACTAAACAAAACGAGAAACTCAACTAAAATCCATTTGATACCTAGAGAAACTCAATGCCAACACCAGAGTATGAATGCTCTTGAGATAATTAGGTTCTTGAAACATAGCTATAGAGTATCGACCCAGACTGGTGAAAGTTCTGTGAATAATAGGCGAAGATGGAGAGGCGGAAATAAAGATATTATTAGTAACACTGCATTACTACAAATCAACATTGCCTCTATCCAGTGAACAAATAAACAAAATCGAAACTATATTTTCATAGACTTATTATCCTAAAGTCCTACCATCATGGTCAGAAACGGCGATACTTACATTTCTGATATCGGTATCTCTAACATCTAAATCCGTAGTCACCAAAATGAACTTCACCTTTGTGTTTGTCAAATAACCATAACTGCATCCATCACAACCATACACAACTTAGAGATTGCAACACACATAAATCACAACACAAGAATTCCAAATCAAACTTAAAACAAAGTATAAAATTAACTTCTTACACTTTATAATTTTCAGTAGGATACAGCAAGCCCAAAAACGTCTCGTTCAATGTCGGTCCGGATTTTTTCGGATTGTTCACTACAAATATATAGATAAGCAAAAGTTTAAACCTACATCAGAAGTTCAAAATCTATAATTTGAAATCAACATAAACGAAATTTTCACACAAAAAATGAAATTCATAAAAAATTTCCCCTAAATATGCATAATCAGATCCTAAGATCTCAATGAAGATAAACGAGGAATTGAATCCTTAGATTAAATTGGTAAAATGATTACCTCGTTCATCGACGACATCGAGGGAGCAGTGTACGATGTGGTGGAGTTTCAGAGCATCATCGGCGTCGGTGAAGCTCTGAATGTACAGAGGATTGTTCTGTTCATCCCCTCGTGATATAAGAAAAAACAGATCATGAGAAACAATGGAAAATTAAAAGATTTGCGATGTTCGAAAGAAAGAACGGCGGGGATCGGATGTCGTACCTGATGACCAACGACGGCGACGCACACGATCATCTTCTCTCCGATTTCACTCCGGCGGTTATCTGAAGAGGAATATTGTATACAAGTCTATTAACCTGGTAGCGTTGAGAAGAAATTTTAGTGTGTTCTCGACTGTACCCTAGATATAGTGTGGCACTCGTACCCTCGAAATGGAGGGCTAACTGCCTTTGACTTATCTCTAGCGGACCGTTCCGGTTCAAGGCATCTTAATAATTAAGTGATTAATTAAATAATTTATCTAAAAATTTTCAATGTAAAGAACATATTTAATCATTCAATTATTGTTGGCTTTCTGTTTTAGGATATCCAAATTTTTAGTAATTAGTCATTAAAATTATGTTTTTTTAGGTGTCTTGAAATAATATCAATTTTAATAGTTAAAATCATATATTCTATTATTTTGATTTTAATTTATAAACAATTTAATAAACTTAATATCGAATAATAACTTTAGTCCATAATCTAACTTAAATATGATTTTTATCAATAATAAAATAACGATTTAATTTGGTTTAATGATTAAGTGTTGTTTACTGAGTTATGGTGATTATAAATTAGTATCGGTTCTAAGTACTCTCAATCATTTGATAATGAACGCTCAATCACCCTTGCAGTCGTTGATGCTCGAACTCGTGATCTCTAGAAACAATAACGATTCTTTTAACCATTGAGACAAGTTGATTCGTACTTTACTCATAAGTTCTAAATTCAATCACTTTTAATCTATTCATATTTTCTTAATTTTCACCAATAAGAGATGATATATATCACCATTTATAAGAGGATTAAATTTATTAAATTCATTTGAAATTAGAACGAGGAACAAATTGAAACAATTTATAAATATTTAAGACTAAATTTATTAAATTATTTTAAATTTAGACTAGATTAATAGCGTACATAAGTCTTGAATGCTAAAAGTGTTGTTATATCACGCTGCACACCACCACTTGAATATAATCAAAATAAAACAAAAATATAACATTAAATAAGGGGAACTCGGCAAAATTTTTAGTGTGGGGGCATTGAAAAAAATTATTGGTTCGTATAGGCTTTCACTAAAATTATTTTCGGAGATGGGTGAATGTTACAGTACTCATCGGAGGACGTCAGAAACATGCAACGTCTTCAGTACGATTTTCACCTTTTCATTTTAGAAGTCTTGACATTCCAACTGGGTAAACAATAGAAAAGACACATTCTGTTTCGGGCATCTTCTTCGACACTATAACATTCGTCCTATCTCAAAAAATAATTCCGACTAAACTCTATACGAGCCAATAATTTTCTTCAACGCCCCCGTAAGAAAAAAATTGCCGTGAAACTCGATAATAATAGGATAGGGTGATGAAATATAATAAAAAATGGTTGTCCCTTGTTCTCATATGTAATGGGATAAGGGGGAGGTAAGATAGTAGGCTGCCCCCAACACCAGGTTGAGAGCAACTTTCGTAGAAGACCTCTAAATTATAAAATGCCCTCCGTGGGACTCGATCCCACGACCTCAAGGTAAAGAACCTTGTGCTCTACCAACTGAGCTGGATAATCATCTCACAAAAAAAAAATCTCATATATAAATGAAGAAACCATGAAACCTATATACAAGAAATCATGGAATCAGGTGGAGAAACAAGAAGAGTAGTAATTGATGGAGGTGGCATTTCTGGCTCCCTCCTTGCCAAGTCCCTGCAATTCGATGCTGCTGTCACCCTTATCGACCCGTAAGCTTCTATCAGGAAGGAGTATCTTGAAATCACATGGGCCGGTTTAAGGAACATGGTTGAGTCGTTTGCGGAAGATCGGTGATAAACCATCGAGATTACCTTACAAACAGACTCATCGTTACATCTGTTGCGATGGGCATAACCGACACCGAAGTATTGGCGGCCGATGGCCGTCGTATTTGTTACGACTATCTCGTCATTTGCTACCGGACACATGTATCTTGTTCCCATGACAAAAACCGAGAGACTTCATCAATACAAAGCAGGTAAAGGCTTGTCTAAAATCTCGAGGAAAATTTACACTCATGTAAATTTATCGATGATTACAGATAACCATAAAATACAATCTGCCGATTCGATTTTGATCATCGGAGAAGGACTAACCGGTGTCGAACTTGCCTGAGAAATAGCCACCGACTTCCCCAACAAGACAGTTACATTGGTTCACAAGGGACCAAGGTTGGTGGAATTCGTTGGAACAAAGGTTTCGGACAAGGCTTTACGCTGGTTGAAATCAAGGAAAGTTGAAGTGAAATTGGAGCAAGCAGTCGACTTGAGCTCAACCACATCAGTATACAAAACCACGACCGGAGAAACCATCAAAGCGGATTGGCAATTACTCTGTGCCGCAAAGCCCTTGGCTTCATCATGGATTAAGGGGACGATATTGAAGACCAACTTGGATGGACACGGAAGGTTGAAGGTTGATGAGAATTTGAGAGTCAAGGGTCGCAGTAACGTTTTCGCGATCAAAGACGTCACTGATATCCCGGTAAGTCGTATGCCGGAACGTTTCATTATCGAGCGAGTCGAGTTCGGGTATCTTTCGACTTTTTTAGAGATGAATGCAGGAACTGAAACAGGGTTCATAGCTCAAAAGCATGCGAAGGTGGTTGCGAAAAACTTGAAGGTGTTGATGAGTAGAGGGAAAGAGAGCAAAATGGGAAAGTACGACGGTGGTTCAGCCACCGCATTGGTTTCACTGGGAAGGAGGGATGCGGTGGCTCAGTTCCTTTTGCAGCCACCATCAGTGGCTGCCTTCCTGGATTACTCAAATCCAAAGACTTGTTCGTCGGCAAGACGAGGAAGAACATGGGCTTACAACCTTGAACCATTTAGACATGCTTAAGAAACAACTCGAATAAATTAATTTATGAATTTCATATATTTGTAATCTTTATAATATCTATATTTATAATAGATTATTTTTCTCATCCATTGGAATAATAATGTCAAACCACGTAAGGGACAAAAATCGAACTAACTGATCAATTTTAAATTGGTGACCAAAATCAAATAAATAAAAAACATAAGGAACCATCAATGTAGTATACCCTTTATTTATTTACTTAAGAATGATCAAACTATGGTTTTGGTCTCACTAATATACTTAAATATATGATTTAATTTTTTTAACTTAATTTAGTATAATTTGGTCCCTCTATTTTATAAGTTAACCCAATCAACTATTGAAATTGGAAAACTAGAGTAGGGTTTTCTTTAAATTATAATTTCAATATGTAATGAAGTATAATGGATGCTTTTAGAAAAATCTAGGGTAACCGTGAGTTTAGTACATCAACTATCAATTTTAATTCGTTTTAATACCTATACTTTTAATTTTTTCAAAATCATATCTAACATTTAGTTCGTTACATCGTTTTATTAATTTGTTTCATATAAATTAAAATACATGCATTCAATCCCAAATTTGAACATAATTGAAAGATTAAAATCATAATTCAACCTTTAAACCTCAAGTGCTACAATTTTAACCATCTTATTTTCACAATGATAACAATAAAGTCAAGATTCAACCAATCATAATACAGTTCTATGTGCAGCACTTGTAAAAAAAGAAAGAGAGAAAGGAAAAGAAATCATACACTGTTCTTAATGATCTTCCTCTTAGCCAAAAACCTTGCGACGGGAGGTGTCAGCGCGATGGTGATAGGTACCCGAACGGGGATCAAGGCCTTGTTACAAAGCACAGCCAACGCAAGTGCTCCGCCGGTGGAAGCGGCAAGCTCGGCCTTCCGATTCCTTTCCTTCTTCTCCTCCTCGATCACCGCCGTCGATTCTTCCATCAAAGAACCATCCGGGCTCGTATACTGGTTTTGGTTATGTTTATCGTCGGAAAAGCCAGGGAGATGTAATTTGTCGAACAACGATTCGACGTCGACGTTGTTCTTGATGGCGACGTAGAAGCCGGTTATCGAAGCGGCGGAGACCGAGAAATGAACCCCGAGGGCCACTTTCCCGTACTTATTCAGGAACTGCTTGAATCGGCTTCCACCGGAACCAGCCATTTCTTTTCCTGTTTTGAAGCTTTGGGTTTGACAAACGAATTCGAAAATTCAAGGAGAAGAAAAGGGGAAGATTTGGTGTTCAGCACCTGGGATTTGTTTAGGGTTTCGGGGGTTCCTTTGACTTCTGGATTTACCTTTGGAGAACATTGGGCTACTTATCAGGTTTGTTGTGTTTTCTCTAGTGTAATCCATTAGATCTTTTCCAATGGGCTTCAAATCAATTATTTCAAAATTATATGTACTAAATTTATTTTTATCTTAATTAAAAAATAAGGTAAAATACTCAAATGGTCCCCAACTATAGGGTATTACTTTATTAAGTTATTTGACTATTAAAAGTTACAAAATGATCCTTTAACTATAGAATATTGCTTTATTAGGTCCTTTGACTATTAAACGTCATAAAATGGTCACCCGACTATTCATTATGCTCCAAAATCGTCCTTTTCCGTTAAAAAAATTAGCGATCGTGTAAGCTAAACGTTAATATGATGATTGTGATATAATAATCGTTTGAGATTCTAAGGTCAAATTGATAATACATACCTATTCAAACATAAACCAAAATAAATCTAATAAAGTCAAATATAATAATGCTCAAGTTAAAATAAATAAATAAAATGTACACGTGACATAAGATAAAATTTAAATTTTGTTTAGCTGGTAGCTATATTGATTTTAATATTAGTTGTCATCAGTCAGTTCTTTTTTCTCTTTGTTTCTAAGATTTTTAATAAGAATAATTTTGCCTATAAGTCATGTTTTCTGTCTTTATGACATGTTTTTCGTTTTCTTTCTCGATCGTTTGGCTACTCTTTTATTCATGTTTTCTCAGGGTGGGATTTGATGATATCACGATTGATCAAGGTAACGCTTACTTATAATCTTGTTGATCTTCCCTGTAATGGACGCTCATATTGAATTTTGATGCGCGAGTTTACGTTTGTGGATAGTTTATCATGATGTTCGACTTTGATATGCAGTTCTAGGTGGTCTTTCAATAGAATAATATTCTTTTGTGATTCGTTTACCGATGCAATCAGATTTATCTGTGTTTGTTTTTGTATAAGTCTTCTGGTTGAGTTTCAATACTATAAGAAAATATTCAAATTATGTAATTAGTTCGTGATGATAGTTGTGAACTTTTGTTGTAGTTTTAGATATTCTTACTTTTTAATAATAATAGTCGTTTCTATTAAAAAAACAAATAGGAACTTTAATTACTAAATCACGAAAACAAAAATTGTCTACTCCGACTACAAATTTTGGCTGCTATACCAGCTCACTTAACAAATAAATTAAAAATAAAATATTTAAAAAATAAAATTAAACAAAATTCATGTTTAAAAAAATAAATAACGAAAATTCATTGTTTTATATTTTTTAAGAAAATAAAAACGAAGATCACACGTTTTCTGAAATCACACTTAACAAATTTATCAATTGGACTTTAATTCATAAATCATACCAATAAATGATTGAATTTACAAAACTAAAACTAAAGAGGCTCAATTTTCCAAGTATAAAGAGTACAGTGACTGAAACCATAATTAAATCTTACCTTATCATTACTATTATATTGAAAACCAATAAACAATGCCGTGAAAAGAAATCTGTCATTTTCATGTGTTTTGATTCCTGAACTTTACAAAACCCGAGAGTTCCAGATGCGTTGATGACCAAAGAGTTCAATTTTTTTTAAATAAAAAAAGCAGCTTTAAGACGTAGCCCATTAGTCAAGCTTTCTGACATAGAAAAATGGAAAAAAGGAAAATTTTCAGCAATCAAATCTTGTCCACGGATTATTGATCTCCTCTGGATTCTCTTTCGTTTCTGTGTTTATCTGAATCTAGCTTGCTTTCTGGTATTCATCCCCTTTCTTTACTAATCTGTCCAGGGGTTGTGCGTGTGCTTATTGCTTTTTGTTTACACAAGGTGATACATTTGGAATTCATATTCTGTTTGGGAGGGTGGAAAGTGTAGGAAAACACGACAGAAAATTTATATCTGAAGTTCAGCTTTCTGGGTTTTCTGTGCTTTACTATTTCAATTGCACTTGAGTGAGTTTTGTGTTTATTATTATTATTATTTCTGTGTTTTACAAAGGTGAAGGCCATGGATGGGAATGGAAGAGTTCACCCAGATTGTCCTAATGCTGCAAATCCATACCATGAATGTGGTGTCCTCTGCTTAGAGAAGATTGGTGAAGGCAAGGGAACAAAGGCAAAGGAAAAGAAGACATTAAGTAATCAAATCCCATCCTTTCTTAGCTGCTTTATTTCCTGTTAAATGTTTAATGGCAAAAACGCCATGCCCTTGAGCTTCATGTGCTATTGATTCGTTCACTGTGATTGATGCAAGGTTGATGACTAGAATCTAGTTAATGGTTTAAGCAAATTAGTACAAGTTTATTTGTGGAAATTTGTTGGTCTTGAAACCGTAGCATCATTGATCTAAAGAGAATTTTGGTCTAGCTGTAGTGTTGGTCCGGTGCTAATTCGCGCCTTAGCAAGAACTGAGGCGCGAATTTCGTCGACGGGGGACCTGTAAGTACAAGAAAGATGTCTCATGGAGAAAAAGCATGTTCCTGACTACTGTTTTTATAATTGTAGGTTCAAAATTTCTTGATGCCTCCAGAAGCTTTGATAGGAAAAAGAAATCTGAATCTCTGCCACAGACCCCTCGAGCACTTCAACCCGGTGACCCTAGGTCGCCTCGGTCACATTTTTCTAGTAAGAAGACGGGTGCAGAGAACGGTGAGTCGTTTTTGTCTTCCGAGCAACACTCCAGAGAGATTTATCCCCAAGATCAATCATTTGAGAAGGCACCAATTCAATACTCTCAACCATTGCAGATGTCCGGAAAACTCATGGTAGGTTCCTCCCTTTCTAATCGGAAAACTCGTTCGCCGTCGCATACAGCTATTCTCGGTTTCGTATTCATGTGAATCATCACTTATCCTGTTTTCTCTTACAGTCTCCTGTTGATGCACCTGCCAAACTTAAACAAGAAGAGAAGGTACAAGATTACCCGAAGATGAGTTCGGATGCACATACTAAGGATGCAAGAGAAGCCCTTAGCTCAGCCTTTAGTTTCTTAGGAATTGGCCAAGCTCAAGATGACAGTGATAACGAGGGAGAGGTCGAATCAGTTATCTCCGATTCGTGTGTATCGGTCGGAAAATACCATGTGAAAGCAAGCATCTCCAAGGTTCTGCAGTCGATTTTCGACAAGCACGGAGACATAGCAGTTAATTGTCATTTGGAATCAGCTTCGATGCGTGCTTACTATCTAGAATGCTTGTGTGCTGTAGTTCAAGAGCTACATTCCACTCCGTTCAAGCAACTGACTAAAGCAAAATTAAAGGAGATGTTTTCTGTTCTCAAGGATGTAGATTCCACCGGTATCGATGTCGGTTGGCTCCATGCTCTACTCGACGAAATCTCGGAAGGCGTCGAGCTCGCTAGCCAACGCCAAACTTTTGAAGCCAAAAAGGCCAAGCACGACCAAGCGTTAGAGTCAGTAAGGAAAGAACTAGAATTGAAAACGGAAGATCTAGCTCAGAAAGAAAAAGAGGCCGCCGTTGCACGAGAGCAAGTCACCGAAACCAAGGCTCATTTAGACGAAATCGATCGTCAATGTTCGGAATTGGACAAAGCCATTTCGAACATGGCGTCAATCGTCGATAAATTTCGGGGCAAGTCTCTGGCAGATGAGTTCTTGTGATGGTGTTCGATGAGCAAGACATTAGCATTTGATATCTTGATGTTATTTATCATTTATATTTGTGTAGAGCAAGATCTGGTAATAAACTATACTTAAATTTTCTTTTGCATGCTTTGACCCCTAAACTATTTTTAATTTACCCCAAGAGGGAACACCCGACAAGAACGTTTTGCATGTCATATACTTAATGTTTTTTCTTACAACTTGGTATAAACTAAGACAAAGTGATAGTTTTTTTCTTTTTACAAGAAACACATTGAATGCCATTATTGGTAAAAGAAGTGAGTTTTGGAGGTCTCGAATTCGAATAGTTACGTATGCAATGTGTGTGTGTATCATTGTCAATTAGCTAAAAAAATCTAATCAAATAATAATTTGTAATCACCCCTGGCTAAATGATAGTTTAAATACAATTGTAGAATAAATAGGGTTAGTTATCAAAATAGAAAAATATGTATGATATAGGGACTAAATCATAAATTTATGCATTTTCAGTCTTTTTCCCCCTTTCATTTCAACTAGTTTAACCGTTTCCTAGTCATCCATGCATGCATGCATACATGTGTACGTATATGTGGGATTAGTGATGTTTAGGCAAATATAGACCTTTAGTATTCAATATGCATGTATGCATGTGTGTTTGTGGCAGAGTTATTTATCCACCATCATTCCAGCTGAACATTTTAGCATGAACTTGAAATTATCATGCATCGTGTAAAAGTGGGCATAATTTGCAGTTCATTTGGATTAAAATTCAATGTGGAATTCGAATAATGTGTTGTCCTCTTCATTTACAAAGGGTTCAAACAGTTTTCTGTCCTACAAATGTTTCAGGTAATCACGGATTGGGCGATGTCTGTTGCTCTCTCTGCAGTTATCATGTTCTTGATTCAACTGGTTTTCGCACCGGCAGCGTTCGCGACCTTCCAATTCGCCGCTAAAACCAGTGGAACTGCAGCTGGGGGAAGACAAAACCATGTCGAATAATTAAGTAGTGCGTGGACTGGTTTCTTTGCCGGTTGTTTACACACCCTGTCAGGGCCAGAACACCTTGCGGCTTTGGCTCTGCTATCGATCGGACTTACACGAACGGGAAGCGCTGTTGTTGAAGCTCTGTGGGGTTTTGGCCATGATGTTGGCCAGGTAATCTTTGGTCTCGTATTTATACTTCTAAAGGACATGCTCCAAATTGAAGTCGTCAGGACCTGGGGTAAAAGGGTGGTGGGCTTAACATTGCTCGTTATCGGAGCTATCGGTATAAGATAAGCTTCCGAAGTTCCCGCTCCCTGCGTTGCCATAGGAAACGGTGAGTGTGGCGTTAGTGTTTAAGGAACACGCTGCATTCCTCGCTATGTTCTTGCTTGGAACCGTAGTGGCAATGGGAAACTATACGGAGCTTATAGGCACATGCAGCGAAGCATTAAAGGATAGGGGTACCCAGAATCACTGAGAAACTCACTTGGGCTTCTTCCTTTACAGCAATTGCTCTCGACATTGCCATTATCATTAGCCAATTTTCCGGATACAGTCTCGACTGATCTAACGTTCTATCTAACTATTAATAGTTGTGATCGCGCCTAGCTTAATCGACATCGTTATCGTAAATCTAACATATTTAAGCATGAATTTCATGTTTATAAAGTCATTTACGTCGGCTTAAATTGTTTGATTAAGACTAAATCAAGCTAATGAATCATCTGATCCTCCTTGCCTAAGAAATCAAAGCTTCTATACTAGCTTTCTTTGCAGTACCACATACAGGGCAACAATCAAGAAAAGCTGCACAGTCTTTGCATGAACAAAGATGTCTGCAGGGAAGGAACAGAACACACGAACTCCGAGAACTGCAACATTTGCAGACCACAACAAATCCTCTGTCTTCTTCTTCTTCCTCCTCGGTTTCTTCGCAGCAAGACCGTGCATCGTCGACTCCATTGTCGAAACAGCGACCGGGTTGGTTTTGCCGTTGTAATCGTTCGAGCGTGTTGTTTAAATAGACGACCATCGCTTCGTTCTCTTGTGCTGCCCTCCGCCATGCCTGGTTCTCCATCTCGAGTTTGTTTAGAAGATTTTGTAGCTCCGTTGTTCTGTTCGTTGCTCTCGTGAGCTCCGCGTCTTTTTGTTTGAGTAAAAGAGTTGCCCTGGGTTCTACCTTTTTCGCCATGGCTGCAACTAGTTTCTCTCTTTGCTCTTGCAGTAATAATCTCAACCTCTCGTTCTGGGAAAAAGGAAATCAGATCAAAATCCCCAATCAACAAAATGATTAAAGAAAAAAACGTTTGAATTCTCGCTCTAACCTGTGATTTGATGAACTGATCAATCTCATGTCTTTGCTTATCCACAATGGCTTCACAATACATCCTCGATTCACCGTTTTCAAAACCAAGATTTTGATTCTTCTGTTGACGGCCAAAACAGAACTGATTAAACCCGCCGTCGCCGGTGCCGCCACAGTCAAGGGAACCGCATAATGGAAACCCGATATTATCTGAATATAACTGAGCTTGTATTGCCATTTTCGTCGCCTCTTCTTCAACCTTCAACCAAAAACAACCATCAAAACACCCGAAAACCAAACCAACGAAACAAACAAAGCAAAACCCTTTCTTCCCCAGAAATCTCTTCTCTTTTAAAACATATCAGACCAAAAACACAAACTGCAATTTCTTCCCCTTTGGATCAAAGGAACTCTCAAAATACACGGAGAAAGAGGAGGGTGCTGGTGTGTGTATATATATATATATATATAATATTAATTTATGGCTTCTTTTCCTGTCTACTTAAACAACTACGTACGCACACATGGAGATTTTGTGTAGATTATATATATAAGAACAGAATTCTTATAATGACTCTCCCTTATTTATTTTTAGAATTTTATAACAGTTTTAATCTAATTTCTTGTGAATTTTGAATTTTCTTATTTCAATTGTCACGGGGATTTCATTTTATTGTCATCCACATCGCACCTTATTAAGCACTCTTAATATACATTTGACCATTTAATTAGCGTTGTCGTGATCGGATCGATTAAAACTTAACTAACGTAATTAAGGCTGTTAAACTATTTTTAAATATATATATATATATATATTATCAATTAAACTATAATTTTTAAATTAATTTGGTGAAATTAAAATCTATTAATAGATGTTCATATTCTCGTCAGATGTGTTAAATAAAAGAACTTGATCGAATTTCTTCTATTCCACATGGCAACCTCTAATATAAGTGTCACGTATTGAAATCTTACTGAAAAAATAATAAATTAATTAAATAAAATTGATGTTCTTTATAATAAGCCGTATTACTTGATGAGTAGGCTTATTATAATAGGTCAAGTTATTTGGTGACAACTCACGACTCTAGAATAGGAAAAATACTTAGAAAATTCCTTCCAAAATCGTTATTTCTGGTGACAGAGAAGATAACTTTGTGTTCAATTGGTCACTATTGTTGTGATTAGTAGTTACTGTTGTGATCGTTTATTATTGTATCTTAGAAGATCGACATTCAACGTTACTCAAAACACCGAAAAAAAGAAATGGTTCATACAGACATCAACAAAAATCTTTCTTTTGATTTATTTTATTATACTCATTGGGGGGTTTTATCTACGTGGAAGGATTAAAAGAAAGATTAGACCCCCACAGTTTTGATGGGGGATTCGGGGTATCTTACAAATGGATTATGGATCTTAAATCACGGAGAATTTTGTCTAATGCCACCAAGATTGTAAAGGGGTATATGGTCCTACATGAACAAAGAGAGAGAAAGAGAAGAGTCCATGGAGAAACATTGGTTATAGGAACACCATTCCCAAGGCTTTGTTTTCTTGGCTAAGATACATACTGTTATTTTCACGTATAATAAAGCAAAGGGCTGGCAAATGACAAAATCTTTAATTTGACAGCAATGTTTCCCTTTGGATTCGAGAAGGAAGCAGAGAGGAAACATATGGTGAAGTGCGAGACAAATGGCACATAGGAACGGTCGTGGTGAAAAGTTTTACGCTGTGTAAATAGATCTTAATCTGTATATATATATTTAGGTTAGGATCCGTAAAACTCTTTTAATTTTATATTTTTTTAGGACCATTGTATTAAGGGAAATCAAAGATTGAATTTAATTCCTTTTTTTTCGGTGAATATTTCTCTTTTTTTACTATTAATCTCAATTTTTAATTTCTCACGTCCAATGATCATAAAAAGATAAAAAACTAAAAGAGTTTTACATATTGTAATTTGATCCTGCCCCTATATATAAGGCCGAGTGTGAGTTTTGATCTAACAGTTTGGATCAAATTATTATATCGATGAGATTCTTCTAAACTTGAACCAAATCGGGTACGATTAAAAAGATTTAATTTTAAGTTGGGTTCAGATGAACCAAATATCTTACTCTATCTAGGGGTGTTCAGAGTTCGGTTTTAACCAAATTAACCAATCGAATCGAAGTTTTTTCGATTAATCGATCAGTTAATTTTTTGTTCGGTCGGTTAACGGTTAAGAATTTGTTTAAACTTCGATTATCGATTAATTTGATTCGAAATCGGTTAATTAACCGAATTAATCAAAATTTTAAATATTTAATATATTATATAGATTATTTATATATTAGGAGTATATAAACTTCTATTTTAATTAAATTAACATATCAAATTAATTGAATTAACTGAAAATATTAAATATATAACATATATTATTTATGAATTTCGATTCAATTAACAGTTAAGAGGGGGAAATATGATTAACAATTGTTTGGTAGTTCGGTTCGATTGATTAACCGAACCGACATATTGAACACCCTTAACTCTATCTATGATAATCCCTAAATAGGTCCCATGAGCTGCTGCCCACCAACAGTGAGAGTCCCCATGAATCCCATTTCTATTCGAATCAAAGCCTTTATTCACCCCTTGCTTGATTGCCTGCCTGGCTCGTCTACATAGTGTATTATTTGGTGCAGACCATGTGGAATTGTAAAGACACCAAGACCAGCACACATAACCAAAGAAAACAAAATATATAAGGGAAAGTGGTTTAGTGACAAACACCCCCTCCAAAAGGCTATTCGATCTCGTATTTGGTGCACAAATGCACAGGCTTCACAAGTTCACAACCACTTGCCTATGCTTTTCTTTTGCTTTAGGGAAAGTCGTTTAGTGACATTGACCCAAATTCGAGTGGTGCGTATCTTGAGCCTAAGGCTAATGTCACGCCCTTAGAACTTCGACGCCTCGGAGCGTGTGGCCTTAGACGCTTTCTTAGTGATCGCGGCTAAGTAAGCCTGAAAATATCCTAAGCAAGGATGCTTAGAACCTCGACGGAAGCTAGACAAGAGAACTAGCACAAGAAGAAAGATAAGAAAGCTTTGAGAGAAGAATGCTCTTATGATTTCTCAAAGTGAAGGAGTGAGTACAAATGAGGAGGGGAGGCCTCTATTTATAGCTAAAGCTCCCCTCAATGAACGGCTAAGATCTAATTACATCGACGGTCGAGATTAATCTTTACCTACCAAAAACAAGTGGGCATTATCTATACATATTTAAATGCCACCTAAGTCTTTGTGGCTTCTAGAAGGTCCAAAACACCACTTGGGCTGCTCTTCATGGGCTAACCTCGGTTGTGGGCTCGTGGTCCGTGACATTCTCCCCCACTCGTTCTGGTGACGCCCTCGTCACTCGTCTGGCATGAAATTGATCTATTCCGGTTTTGAATTGCCAGAGTCCCTCGGCATGCTCCCAACTCCCTTCGCACTCGGGTTGTCCCTTCCACAAAACGAAGTATTCATGCCTTGGGCGGTGTCCTGGCCGTCTAATAACTCTCTCCGCCTGTATATCTTGGATCTCCTTGTCATAGGAGATCGCTACTCCGACTGGCGCTCGGTGTGACTTGCCTCGATCTGGATCCTCGGTATCCTGATGGTATGGTTTGAGCAGGCTAACATGGATGACGGGATACGCTCGAATGGTTGGAGGCAACTCCAATTTGTAGGCCATGGTGCCTACTCGCTTCACGACTCGAAAGGGACCCTCGTATCTTCGAACAAGCCCCTTGTGCACGTCCGCATGGCGCAAAACGTTGGCCAATTTTGCAAGGACAAGGTCGCCAACCTCAAAGTTCACGTCCCTCCGCTTTCGGTCAGCCCACTTCTTGGTTCGTTTTCCTGCCTTGTTCAAACAAGCTCGGGCTAAGTCGTGTTGCTCGTGCCACTCCTTGGCAATGTTGTGTGCTGATGGATTGGGCCCCTCATATTTGGTAACAACCGTGTTGGGTGTCAATGGTTGTTGCCCAGTCACGATCTCGAACGGACTTTGGTTTGTCGCCTTGCTCCGTTGCAAGTTGTAGGAAAATTGGGCCACATCCAACAGCTTTGGCCAGTCTCGTTGGTTGGCACTCACATAGTGCCTCAAATAGATCTCTAACAGAGCATTCACTCGCTCAGTTTGCCCATCGGTTTGTGGATGAACTGCGGTGGAAAAGTTCAAGCTCGATCCCATTAGTTTGAACAACTCCGTCCAGAACCTCCCAGTGAACCGTGTGTCCCGGTCACTAATGATGGTTTTCGGCATTCCCCAGTACTTCACCACGTGCTTAAGGAAAAGTCGAGCGGCTTCTACAGCTGGACACACCTTAGATGCAGGTATGAACGTCGCATACTTCGAAAACCTGTCAACCACAACCATGATACTTGAAAGTCCATCAGTTTTGGGCAAACCAATTATAAAATCCATGGAAATACTTTCCCATGGGCGTTCCGGAATGGGCAATGGTTGCAGCAGTCCCGCCGGTTTCTTTGCCTCAATCTTGTCTTGTTGGCATACAAGACAAGTCTTCACATAGGCCTGCACATCTTCAGCCATATGCGGCCAATAGTATTGCTCCGAAAGTAGGGCCATAGTCCGATCAACTCCCGGGTGTCCCGCCCACTTGGAATCATGGCATTCCTTTATGAGCTCCTTGCGTAACTTCCCATATCGAGGCACAAAGAGACGATGGCCTCGGTGGTACAGCAATTCTCCTTCGAGCCAAAACTCTCGGGTTCGCCCCTCCTTGGCTCCCTCGATGATTCGTTCAGCCACAGGATCATGGGGTAATCCTTCCTTGATTCTCTCGAGGAGAGTACCTTCCACAGTCTCGATGGCATACCTCCGGCTTAAGCCATCTGCAACACAGTTCACCTTCCCGGGCTTGTACTCCAAGGAAAAGTCAAACTCGGCAAGAAACTCTTGCCAACGAGCTTGCTTGGGAGAAAGCTTCTTTTGGGTGAGGAAGTAACTGTTGGCAACATTGTCCGTGAACACCACGAACTTGGACCCAAGCAAGTAATGTCGCCATGTGCGTAAGCAGTGTACAACTGCTGTCATCTCCTTTTCATGAACCGAGTACCTCTTCTCGGTCTCGTTGAGCTTTCGGCTCTCGTATGCAACCGGATGTCCCTCTTGCATGAGGACTCCACCAATGGCAACATCGGATGCATCAGTGAAGACTACAAAAGGCTTGGTGTAGTCTGGCAACACCAACACGGGCTCATTCACCATGGCCTCCTT